CAGTTTATTGATGACTATAGGCGATCATTGTTCATTGCTTGCTAATTGTCGTTGTTGCGGAGAGATGTAAAAGAGAGAAAAAGATTGGATGAAGGGAAAAGAGAGAATTAGAAGGGAACAAAAAGAGGCAAAATGAAAACGGTTGGTTGGTTGGTTGATTGGTCGGTCGGTTGGTTGATTGGTTCATTTGATTGGTTTTTTGGTGACTGAATTTTAGCTAATGAAAAAATTAAGTGCTACAAATTGGATGAGAGGAAATCGTTAGCAAATAAAAAAAAAAAAAAAATTTCTGTTTATTTGGTGAATTAATATTGTTATTAAGAGAAAGTACTGAAGAGAGAGAGAGTTTTTTTTTTTTTCGACTTATCTCGACTTTTTTTTTTGTTTGCATTGGTGAATATATCGATGATCCAGTGGAATAATCTGGTGTAATGTTTTTCGACGACTAAAGCCAAATATTATGGTTCTTATGTTATCCTTGCAATAATTCTACCAAATCTAAAATTTGATGGAGGTATTTATTCGCTTCTCTACCAGTAAAATATCTAAAGGAATCTTAATCGATTGGTACTTCATAGAAGCTAATAAAATTAAAAATGGTGAAATGCTTGTTAGAAGAAGGAAAAGATAAATAACTTTGGCAATTTTTTTCGAATTTATTTTCTTCTAAATCTCTTTTAAAATCTGTTTAAGATTACTTACTCGATTACTTTTCAATTTTTTTCTTTTTTTTTCCGCATTTTCACTTATTTATATTTGAATGGAAGAGGAAGGAAGAGGATAGGATAGCCGAGTGTTGAGAGGATTCAAAGATACAATTTCTATTTCCAATAAGACTGAACCGATCATTTAAAAAATTCGAATAATCCTAGCAGCTTATTTATACTTCTATTCCCTTTTGAAATGTAGTACCAAATCTTGCAGAGATTTTCAAATCGTCCTACTAATTTGCAATGGAACTAACCTAACGATGAGTGATAGCCATTTATTTTAATCAGTGTTACTTTCAGTTACTTTCATCTGAATTTTGCAATTAAATTTATTATTTGTGGGGAATTTTCATTAAAAATTTCCAAGGAAATAGGGTTATTTGTTAATGGATTTTCGATGAATTTAATGAATAACGGAGCTTTTTAAGCCTAAAATCAATACAATTAATTTGAAATATATGATGGATAAATATACGAAGAAAAATTAATTAATATTTGCGGTGACAGTGGTGATAACACGATTTGTCGATCGAATCAATCGATCCACTATAATAAATCCATTCATGCACCTATCTATGCACCATTAATGCACCATGCACTTGCATTTATCGATGCACCACCAATGCTCTATCAATCCATCCATACACCCATTTTATTTAGTCTGTTTATATCCATTTATGGGAATAATTTGAAGGTCATCGTATGTCATCTTATTTCTTTAAAATTGGCTTAAATTATCCAATAAAATCTTCTTCCTTATTGCGTGCATTCTTCCATAATGAAATCGATATCTTCCCTCCCCCCCCCCCCCCCCCTCCTCTTTTTAAATATGCTGGATGGCGGAGAGGAGTGAATTTGAATTTGAAATTCACTGGCCTACAATCGCCTGAATCAATTTATTTCTTATTTTATTTTATTTTTTTTATCACTCTTTCCCCTCTCCCAACCTTCCCCTCTCCCCATCCTAAATTTCCCTAAATTTGCTAAATGTTTAAAATTTATTTTAAGATTTTTGATTTGAAACTATTAATTAATTCAATATCTAAAATTTTTTGAAAAATTCTTAAATTTTTTTTACAATTTTTATGACAAAAAAATATTTGTGATAATTATTGAAATAATAATTATTGAAATATATAGAAATAGGCTGACTGTATTTTCTATAATCTTCTGCTTACTATTCAGATTGGTTCCACTAGTTGAAAGGACAAGAAAGAGGAATTTAGAAATGCATCTAATAAGTACTTTATTAGTTTATTAGTTCAACTTCTCCCTTGCACGCAACATTTCAAGGCAAATTTTTTCATTTACTGACAATTAAAAATGAGATATTTTAGTCAGTTGATCATATAAGATGAAGCTTTTAAGATGCCTTTTTTAATGATAAGCCTACTTATCAGATTAGGATGATAATATACAGTTGGTTATTGGTTATACTATCCCCATTTATTATGAATGATAAGCTTTGTGGTAATTGTTGAAGACCGATTTATTTTTTATTCATTTATCTGTAAAATCATTTATCATTTATCATTTATCACAAAATGGCATTCTATAAAGTATATACGATTAATGTAAAAATGTCTCTAAATCTCATTTAACTAATTAATGGAGTTCATTTTCTTCGTTTATTTTAAAGTATTTTATTTTTTTTGAGTTTTTCCTAAGTTTTTTTTTTATTTTAAAGCAAGGCTTAGGCCTATGAAAAATCGAATTTAATCCTCAAAGAGAGAGAGAGAGAGGGGGGAGAGAAAGAGAAAGAGGGGCAAAGAAGCTAGAAAAATCCTTTTTTTATCATTTTTTTTCTTGTCCAAGGATATGGTTGAGTTGATTTATTTTATCCTTTGTGAAGCGTAGGCGATTCGAGAAGATTTCATATCGAATTTCAAATGCAATTATGAAGAGGAAATGATTTCTACAAAGAAATATAAATTCGCTTTTAGGATAAGAAAGAAAAATTGAGTAAAATCCAGTAAACAAATTACAACGTTTAAAAAATCTTGTAATTAGTGGAACTAACCTAATATTAGTAGTGCTATGGCGTTAGAAGAAGAAGGATTTACTAGATTAGCAAATCGAAAAGTTCCATTCTCATAATTTGTGGAACTAACCTAGCATTGATACGTGTTATTCTCATTGAAGATCTCGTTGGATATATAAACAAAATAATTATTATTGCTTTATTAAAAAAGCTTAATCAATATCATCATTATCATTGTCATTATCACTATTATCACTGATGAATAAGAGAAATAATATAAAAGAAATAAAATAAAAATTTTTCAAATGCTATGAGAATAAATGAGATTTTATTGATTTGGAACGAGGCGCAACTGCTTTTCTCTTTTCATCAAATTTTGCAATTTGATACCTTTTTTTTCTGTTCCATGGTACTTTTTTTTCTAATTTAATCTTAATTTTAAAAACTTCATTAAATTTTCATTGTTTTTTCATAAAGTTAACTTATCATTCTGAACTTGAATCCTGGTCACCTGTGGTACTTCGGTATATTTTCATAATTTGTTACCAGGTTTCACTAATTATTTCGTAATTTTTCTATCGTTCTATATCAAAAAATCATCTCGAGCCATTTTATAGGTTCGACTATGTTATTTTTCTTTCACTTAGCGATAGAAACGTTATGAAGTTCGTCAAGATTAGTTGGCTTATCAGAGATCAGAGATATTAAAATCAGAGCAAAAAACCTGGCTTGGAATGGCTTGGGAATCTAAGATGTATATGTTTATGTGAGGAATGGAATCTTGGCAGCGACCCTTTGAAGTGATAGCCCACAACTCAGCGAGTCATTTTGGCTATTTGATAGGGCGATTAATATTAATAGCCAAATGGCCTTAGTGACCTTTCTTTGAAATTTGATTTTAGAGAGATTTCAGATCAAATTACTAAATAATGATAAATATAATGATAAATCTCATATACAATGGAAGATTTTCTAGTATATATTTCATTTATCAGAATTTATTATTTCGTTTATCACCCAAATTTTTAGTTTATCTCGTTTATCACCCAAATTATCACTTTATCTCGCCCATCACCTAAATTAAATTATTGGTTAATGATCTCGTTTACCACTTGAATTATCAGTTTATCATTCATTGTGTTTATTGTTGCTTATATAAATATCCTTCTTTGATGTATATTTTATTACAACATCATCATTGTTTCTTTTCATCATCGTTGTATTTGTTGTATTGTTCGAATTTTTGAAATTTTTTTCTTTTTTACAAAAATGTAGAATTATAAAAATTTAAAAAAATTGTCTCAAACAATTTTTTAATTGATCGTATGTTCGTTTTGTTTAGTATTTAATTTGTTTAATATTATATTTTCCTTAGAAATTTTTAATTTATATATATTTATTTAATATTTTTATTTAATTTTAATTTTTCAATATTTAATTTTAATATTTAATAAAAAATGACAAATAATATTAATCTTCGTATAATTATAAATTTATAAAATAAAATTTTTCAATTTTTGCTATTCTTTAAAATTTTCCTATCGATTTTGTTTGTCATTTTTCCATAAAAAATTTATGTTTTTTTTGCAATTTGCAATGAAAATTGATTCGCGAAAATTTTCGATTTTTAAAAAATAAAAAATTAAAAAATTAAATTAAAAAAAAATTAAAAAATTAATAAAAAATTTTATTAAATTTGAATAAAATATTAAATTTTTATTATTAAATATTAAATATAAATATATAAATATATTAAAATATTATTAAATATTAGTAATATTATTAATAAAATATAAATATATTAAAATATTATTAAATTTGAATAAAATAAAAGTGCAAATTTTATAAAAAGTGCAAATTTGTTTAGGTAATTTTTAATTTTTGAAAAAGAAAATTATGGAAATTTGTGTTTAGAGATTTGGTTCTATTTACACTGAGTCACCGAGTTACCGAATCGCACCACTGAGCTCTTCAATATTTCTCTAAGGAAAGATTCTAAATAGAGCTAAATGAGATATCCAATTTAATTTTTCTTTCCATTTTTTATCGCTTTTTTAAATTTTTTCATTAAATATTTTTATTGAATTTTTATTGGAAAAAATTCCAAATTTTTTCTTTCTTTTGAAAAATTTATTTTTCTTTTGTTTTTTAACAATTTTTATCGTTGTATTATTCATTATTAATTTTAAAATTTTTACTTTAATTTATTTTTTTCTTTTTTCAGATCAAACTTCGCGCAGAATTTGTTGAACGAAAAATTCCTTGTGAAATTATTCGAATAAGAATATCAAATTTCAATTTAAAAAAAAATGGAATCCGGTAAATATTGTAAATATATTAAATTTTTAAATTAGTGTATTAATTAAATATATTAAAAATCAATTTAAAATATACAATATAAAATATAAAATTAACATTTATAAATATGAATTCACCATTTTTGGTTTGGTTAAATTCGGTGACAAATTAACGATGGCAGTCATTTTGTATGAGAGAATCACTTGAAGCTAGAACCACGAGTGGTTCATTTCACGAGCGTCTAGTGGAGTTGATTAATAACTCAGTTGTGCGACGAGAACCAATCCTATAATGATTCGATCCTAGCGTATCATTTCGGTTAATTTGTCCCTGTTGAACTGAATTTCAAATGAATTTAATTAATAAATATAATTCAGATGCTGATTTGCTTGTACTATTGCCACCAGGTCATTCAGTTGGAACAATTCGTACACGTCGACCGGTTATGTATGTATTTTCTGGTGGTGATGAAGATGCGGCATTTTTCTCGGTAAATGGATTTTCATTGTTATTAGATGGTGGCGATTGCAAGGAAGTTCCTTTTTGGAATTTGATAAGAAACTATGATAAAAGTAAGATGATTACTTTTTATATAATTTTATTCTTCATTTATATGATCGCATATAATAATAATAGTAATAGTAGAGAAATTCGATTATTTTTTAAATATATTTTTGATTATTTTCGAAAATTTTGATTACTTTTCTTTTAAAATATTATTTTTAGTATCAGCTGTAATTGCCACTCGTGTAAGTCCGAATTCTCTACGAGGAATTTCAACGATTCTTAGGAGAAAAGCTTTGGCAGAAGTAAAATTTTGTGAATAATGAATAATAAGAATAATAAATAATTTAAAATAATAATAAGATAAATGATAAAAATTTAGCGATTAGCCTATTTTAGCATTTTATTCGACTTAAAATCATAATATTATTGAAATGCGGCTTTTTAAGATTATCGATAAAATTTTTTAATTTTTATAATTTCTAAATTGGTTATAAAAAATGAAGAGTTATAGAAATCTTATAAATCTTATCAGTTGTATTTCGTAAATATTTTTCATTGGTAGTCTTTGGTTGATAATAAAAATCATAAATAATTTTCCAAGCGATAATTTTCGATATGTATCAAATATTTATAGACTTAACTGCTATTGTTATTATTATAAATAATAAGATAACAAGATAAACGATTATAAATAGTAATCTTTAAACTGATAAAAACTGATAAAAATTTTCAGCCAAATAAATATTAATCTTCAATATTTTAATAATAGTAATAAATTTAACAGCTCGAAAAAAAAATCGTGAAATTTGGCTGGAAATTTTTGTAAGTGGTAATTTTATTATTTTATTAAAAAATTAAAATTAAATTTTATTATTTTATTTTATTAAAAAAAAATGTTCATTTTGACCTATTGAGAATTTATTTTATAGTGCCATCCGAATTTCGGTGCTTTCATATGCAATCTTCCTTCACGTAAAACCGTACTTGGTGATAACGATGTGGCTGAAATGATACGTACCTTACATGATGATTTAAATACGGAAGGTTTGAAGCCTATCGAAACATTCACGAATCCTAAAGGAGAACCAATCACCTTATATGAGGTACATTATAAGACTATCGTTGAGAACATCTTCGATAGAGCTATTTCTGTTTTATATCGCATTCTCTTCATTTTTAAATAATTAATTAATAAATAATTTTAAATAATAAGTGAAATTAAAAAGTTAAGGTGATTGGTGAAGGTGCATTGAGTATGATTGTGCTAAATCCAGAGCGTGGCTCGAAAGATTTCACGGCATTGGCCAATGCTTTGAAAACAGGGGAAGATTTTGAGAAGCATTGTGCAGCTGCATCGCTTGCAATTTTATTAGTTTGGACACCATCTGATATCTCAAAGCCAACAACTCGCATCCTTTATCCAGGTTAAATAGATTTTTTCGAGTTTTATTAGCAAAAATTATGCATTTTGCTTATTTAAAAGAGGGTTTTTATCTAAAATTTTTTCATCAATCGAGTTATTCGATTTTGTAGCATTAATATTTAATCATATGAAATATGAATTATGGCAAAGCTAAAATTCTTTATAAAAGAATTTAATAAATTATTTAATAATTTTAATAAATTATTCCAATTTTTTTATAGGTGCTTGCCCATTGGATAAATTATATGCAGCACTTGAAAAATTGAAGAGCTTGGAATATTTGCGACAAGCGACTTTTATTAGCGGTGCTACTCGCGAGAGACCAGTAGCACCTCCTCATGGATATGTTCCACCAGTTAAACCATTAAATCAGAAACCACCAGTTGTGCCATCAACTCGAACATCACTTGTTCGTCGTACTCCACTTACCCCATCACGTATGATTAATTTATTTAGATTTTGATTTATGAATTTAAACGAATGCAACTAACTCTTTATTAAATATTAATATTAATATTTAATACTTGATATTAAAATTAATAATATAATAATGATAATAATATTTATAATGATATAATAAAAAATAAAATTAATAATGTAATAAATTAATAAAATTAATAATTGATATTAGAATTAATTTAAAATTAATAATAATATTAATAATAATTTAATATGAAAGATTTCTTCTTCTTTTTTTTTATAAATAGCAAAGTTAAAATTCCTTAAAAAATTAATATAAAAATAAAAATAAAGTTAAGGTAAAGTTAAATTAAGTTAAAATAAACAAACAAAATAATTTATTTTAATTTTAATTTTTTTATTTTTTTTAAATTTACAAACAGTTGAAATCAGTAAGAAAATCATTTTTTGATTTTTCTTTTTTTTTCCCTCTATTAACTATTAAAGAATTATTATTATTTTTGCTAATTTATATATTTTATATAAATTATTAAAAAATTTTTTTTTCTTATCAAATTTTAAATGAAATAATAATAAATATATGGATATAGATACGGATAATTCTCTAAAATCACTTTCCAATAATAACGTTCGATTAACGAAATCAACTGCAACAACTGAATCGCCAATAAAAAAGACTGTCAAGTATTCTTTTTGTTAAATGATTTTTTGAATGAAAATTTTATCCTCAAATAATTGTTAAGAAAAATATTAACCGAATAGTTGATGGAGAAATATTGCTGATTGCTATTGTTTGTTCAAAGAAAGAGAACGAGAATAATGCTTAGAATTTTTAAACACAAAGCGATATGACGAATATCGAATGCTGAAAATATTCTTTTCTAAAAATAATATTTAAAAAATAAAATTATATCAGAAGTTCGTTTGTTTGTGTTACAATCATTCATGCTGTTGCAATCAATTCGGAGCGAGCGCCCATACTAAGGTTCTATTCCCAGTTGGAGTAAATCCGGATGTCCAAAAATCCTGGTGAAAATGCTGGTGACTCATTTATATCTCTATCGCCAAGGGAATCCCTGGCATATTTGTCCAGTGCGACAAGCCAGCGAAGCGAGTTTAACCTGTTTAACCAGTGAAAAAGATCATTCATATATATATATAGTTACAATATTTACTTCAGAGATATCCTTTAAAAAAAAATCCATTTCTCTTTTTAGGCAACCACTTTCGAAGTCAGCATCAGCACAACAAGGACGTCAGTCATTTCCTGTTGCTGCTAAAAAATTACCAACTATTCCCAAATCTAATGCGGCTAAAATCGAGAAAAAAACTAATGATAAAGCAGGTGTTGGTGGTGCACAGGCATCGTTGGTACATCAGAAGCCAAGTCAAAAAGCAAATTCTACTAAATCGCATAAAACTGAATCTGTTATAATAACGAAAACAGCTGTAAAAGCCGAGGGAAAAACCAATGAAATTCAAGTAAGTCAGTCAGTTTTGATTTCATTAACTATTTAAAAATAAAATTAAATAACATTGGAAAATTTGAAAAATTATTTTTTATTTGAAATATAATATAGTTATATGTAATAATAATATAATATTTAATATAATTATAATAAAATAATATAATTAAATATAATATAATAATATATAATATAATAATTTTTATATTAATATAATATATTATATTAAAATAATATAATTATTATTTTAGAAACATTTAAATGATGAAATTGGTGAAAGAATATCAAATGAAAAAGATCGACAAATTGTTGAGAATATTGAAAATACACATTTCGAACAACAAAATTTACAAACTGAATTGGTTTTTACAAAATCTATTTTTTATGAAAATTTTTTCATTATAAATTTTTTTCTAAATTTTTTTTATCGAAAAAAATGTTTTTTTTCTGGCTTTTATAGCCTTTTAAGCTTAAAGATAAGCTTAACATAGAAAAATTTATCAATTATTATTGCTTGGAAAATTATTGCTGAAAAAAAAAGTTATTTTTACTAATAATTTATTTTCTAATAATTTATTTATTTATTGCAAAAATAAATTTTGAGGATACACCAATTTCGGAAACTGAAATAAATATTGAGAATGCACCAATTTCGGAAACTGAAGTAAATATTGAGAATTCACCAATTTCGGAAACTGAAGTAAATATTGTGAATGCACCAATTTCGGAAACTGAAGTAAATATTGAGAATGCACCAATTTCGGAAACTGTATCAACTGAATCGCCTATATCAACTCATGTAAATATTGATAATGAGTCAAAGGCGGAAATTTTCGATCAAGATTTTTCAAATGGTTTATCACCTGTTACTACTGAAACTGAAGAAAATGAAGTTCGTAATCAAAATTCAATGCAGTTGAATGGATTCCGCGAGGTTTACATTTCGGAAATTTTTTCATAATTATTCGATTCTAACTATTTCTTGTTTTCAATGTTACGGTGATTTTGATGAAATTTTCAATATTTATAGATGTCCTTGGTACTTAAATAGTTTCTAAATATAAATATAGAAGGTTTTACAAAAGAATCAACGATAATATAAAATTTAGATGGAATTTGCTACTGCGAATTCATCTCCACATGCTCCGTCATCGGCAACCTACGAGGTATTTGAAATTTAATTTTCTATAATGAATAAATTTTGTAATTCTACTTTCATAATTTTTTTTTAGGATACTCCGCTACTGGAATCAACGCCGCTTGAATCATTATCCACTCCAATCGACAACTATGATACAAATTTGGAAATGAAAACAGGAAGCGATGAAGATATGGTTCCATTATCAGATCAAGAATGTGTTACAAGTAAGCATTCAATTTTGTATCCGATCATCCGGATCATGTTGGCGATTTATTCGTAATTTTATCACAAATCGCTCACAAAAATTTCTTATCATACTGATTAGAGCCAGAAATGTGTTTACTTATATTCATTAGCTATTCGATCTAATCATTTTCTTTTTATGCACTTTTTTTCCAGCAATTTTCCTGGCTAAAAATTATAAAATTATTTTTTTCATTTCTAAATCTCTCAGAATATAGATTAATGAGGTAAATATTTTATTATTTTGATAAAGTTTTAGAACCTATTTCGCTTTCTAATGATCCATTTTGCGATTTAACAAGCGCATTCGCCGCTGGGCTTGTTTCAAGTATCGTTGATGAGAATGCTTCGATGCCAGTAATTTTTTTCAAATTATATTTACCTCTAATCTTGTTCTTTGAGTTAAAGGTTTTCTTTTTTGGAAAGCTAAATGGCAGACATTAAAATTAGCACCCAAAATTAACAGTGGAATTTTTGCAGCTCATTAGTCCATCTTCACCGAAATCTGAAAAAGATCTAAACAATATTACAAATAATGGTGACGTGAAGAAGAATATCGCTAATACGAACAAAGCTTTTAATATTAGTCGTGAGGATAATTCTGTGGTGAATAATTAGTTGCAGTTTGTTTGATTTTTTTTTTAAGAGATTTCTTCCTAAAAGCATTCATTTTTTTTTGTGGAGAAGAGAAGCTTATCTGTTTGCTCTGTTAGTTTAGTTATTAGTTGATAATTCTTTTTTTAGAGGATTATTTTGAGATACAGGTGGAGTACCAATGCAATTTTTATTTCACATTAACTGATTTACTCTCATTAAGAAATCAGATCTGTGATAACTGTGATAATTAGGTTTTGCTCTTGGTTTACTTATTAGAACTGATTGCATTGATTGTATCACTTCATCTATTAAGTGGATTCGTATTCATACTAGTTGAACTCGTTCAACTGGCTTGTTGCACTAGACAAATATATCTAGGAATCTCCTGGCGATAGAAACAGGTGAGTCGCCAGGATCATTCGAATTTTTAGATAGGATTCCTGCCGAAAATAAAATTCCAGTATTCAGCTCTTCGAATTGTGCAACAACCCACTGAGTCATTCTTCATATATTGGCTTTTAAAGAATCTTCTAAGAATCTTCATTTTTATTTATTAGTTTAGGTGGATGCAATTTTGGATGATGTTATCGAAAGTTTAGCAGGTGAATCGGAAAAGAATGATAGCCCAAAAGAAGATGATTTCTTTACGCATTCTGATGCGATTTATTCTTCAAATAACAATGCAAAACTTCTTGAAGTAAGTTGTTATACAACATGTTATTCGAAATTTTCAACACTTTCATAATTAGTGAATTTCATTTAGTGGTCAAATTTTTCCTATTTTTTATGAAAATAAATAGCTAAACGCCTAAGGCAATTATTGTTTTGAATAGAATTTTGATGCAGCCAATGAATTTTTTATAACAATAAGCATATTAAAAATTTAATTTAAAAATTCTATTGCTTTCCTGGTGAAACTGGAGATCTATCATTTTACTTAGGTCTATCATTCCTTAGGTCTATCATTTCATTTATCATTATATCATTTTTATATCATTTTTACTTGTTATTTATCATTAAAGGCTCAAAAATTATACGAAGATTCGCACGCTACTGAACAATATTTACCGCCAGTGACAACAACACTTAGAGTTCGTGGTCGACCATCGAATTCCATCGTTTCGAAACCAAAACTTTCCAATCCACTTTATTTTGATATTGTTTTTATTCCTCATCATGGTCCTCATGCAGCTCTTACCGATGAACATGCCGCTACTACATTCGTTTCTAATATTCGCTCAAAGTATGTTTATTTATTTATTTATTGTTTTTTGTTTTTTTGTTTATTTCAATGAATTTGCTAAAAAATTCACAATTTTTATTTTGGCTAATTGAATTTAACTTTAATTGAATTTTTTATAGAAAAAAAGAGTTGCACTATAAAAACTAGCAAGCGTACTTGATTATTTTTAGCTATTTTAAATATTTTGGCTAATTTGGCTAATTAACTATTTTAAATATATTTTAAATATTCCAGACGATATGTATTAAGTGGACAAAATGCGATTAAGACTTATATCTTGGACGGAATAATTGCCGGAAAAAATTCCTGGAATAAGCCAGGTAAAATATATCTTTCGATTTTTTTATGAAAAAGCTAATAGGATATTTCATCGTAAAAAATATTTCAGTGTAGTTCTTAATATTTCATTCTATCATTCTAACCTAATAATACCTACTGAATTTCATTTGTTAACCTTACAGATTCTCAGTTGATTTTTAGATATGGAAATTGATATTCTACCCACGCACGACACTAATGATCTAATAGCCTTTGATCAACTTAAGGTAATATTTTTATTTTTTTCGTTAAAGAATGGTCTATCAATTATTGATAAGTTATCAGTAATAATCCATTTTTACCTTCTTTCCTATTAATTTATATTATTTTGTCAGAATTTATCAGTGTAAATTAATTTATATTATAGGCTGCTGAAATGAGCGATGCGGGTATAAATTTACGTTGTTCTGTGGAACGTTGTACATTAAGGCTTTCAAGTGGTGGTGCAGATGATATTTGTTCTGCATTCAAATTCGAATTATAAATTTTATTCGATTAGACGAAAAATGAATTTTCTTATTTGCATTTTTATTTTTATTAAACGAGCTTCATGTTGCTTTGTTTTTTTTTTTTTTATAAAAAAAATTTTGCTTAATTGTAATTTAATTGTGTCGCTATACACATAGACACATATTTCTTTTAAAATATATTAATATTTTTTTTAAATTTTTATTAATTTTAATTTAAAGGAGTCGAATTATTTTCAGAAAATAAAAAACTGAAAACATTCAGTTTGAAATGTAAATTATATGAATTAAAATTTATCATAAAGAATATTTAAATATTTGAATAAATAAGAAAATAGAATTGATTGGTTTCATAGGCTTTATTTTACTATCCGTAAAATATTTATAAGATTCGAAACCTCTTGTTTTTTTGAAATTTTTTCTTTTTTTTTGCAGTGTGGCTTAATGGTTTATTTATTAATTATCTTCTAATATCAGCTATCAGCTACTTGATTATTCTATAACATCCAGTGATCTACTAATTTGCTAGATAGAGAGATTTAATAAAGTTGAGAAATTTTTTTAGCGCTATCATTTTATCGAAATTTTAAGATATTTTCATGAAAATTGATAAGAAATTTGATTGATAAGAAATTTGAAGAAATAAGAAATTTGACTGGATGTTTATAATTTTTTTTGTTGTTGCTTGAATTTATGTTATTAGATAAATATTATGAAAAGAACGAATAATGATGAAGCAAATATTCATGCAAAATCATGTTTCTATTTTTGTATATCGAATTAAATTTTAAAAAATTCTCCTATTTTTTGATCGAAAAGAAAGCAAAAGAAAGATGAGATTGATATAAGATGAACAAGATTCGCCTCGCTGGCAAATCCAGGCAAACCTAATCAAATTATAGTCACTAGGTGATAAAAGTATAGATGAATCATCGTTATCACCTAATTCTTTGAAAGAGAAGTGATGCAGAGAATTGAGCAATCCTAGTACTTGAAAATTCTATTTCTCAATTTTTTACAACGAAGAATCTAAAATAAAAAGCTAATTTAATGAAATAAATTATTAATAAAATAAATAAAGAAATGAATAAAGATGATTTTTGCTAGTTTTTTAATAATATTCAAATTTCTGGAAATCAAATTTTATAAATTTTTTTTCGTCCAATTTTTAAATATTATATCGAAAAAAATTTATATTTAAAAAATTAAAATTTAAATAAATAAAAAATTTAAATAAATATCGAAAAAAAATTTTTAAAAAAATTTAAAAAAATTTATTAAATAATAATTTATTAAATGATAAATTTATTAAATTTTTTATTAAATATAGGCAATTTTTAGTGATTAATTTGATAATAAAAAAGAATTGATAAAATCAATTGATAATTGATAAAATTAATTGAAAAATTTTTTGAAAAAAATTTTGATATGATTGATTAATTACATTATGTAAATTTTTTTGACAAATCAGCATTATTTATGCAAGAAATTTTCAATTAAATAAAGAACAAATGAATAAAGAAGGATTTGAATAAAAATGAATTTAAATAGTTTAACCATATAAATGCTATTCAATTTATTCATTCATTAATTTATTGTTTTTTAAAATTTACAAAAAAAAAAGAAATGAAAAAAATTATTATTCATTGGTTTTTTAAAAATGAATATGGTCGTCATCTTCTATATTATATTTTATTTAATTTTTAAACAACTAAATTATATCGTCGCATTTTGTGATAATTGCGAGAATGTAAGTGCTTGCTTATTGGCTTCAATTCGAAACGTTTTATACTAACGTGGAATGGCTAAGCGATTCGGTTTGTTGTTCCGAGCTGTTGCTTCCAGCTGTGATTTTCGATTCCACGCATTAGAAAGCTTGACTTGACTTGACTTGATTTTTGTAAAGTTGACTTCTACTGGTTATTCATTTGCACTTCATAATGCCAAATGATTTATTGCTATGGGCGAATTTATTTACGCCGATAAGCCAATACATCGAATGACTAGAAAATGTAACACTCTAAGAAAAAGAAAACAATAATAATTCTATAATTTGTGAATTGAATTTAGCTAAATTATAGGATTATAGAAAAACGATTCGAAAGTTTTTTAGGAGTTTTTTTTGAAAATAAAAAATTTCTCTTTTTTTTAACTAAAATAATATATATCGTTTCGATATTATATATTTTTTTTTTAAGTTAAAAAATGGAAAAATTAGAAAAATTAGGAATTTTATTTTTTTTTTTTAGGAAAAAAATGGAAATTTTTTCAATATTTATTTAAATTATATTATTGACTATTGTTTTTAGGCAAAATCATCGATAATAATGGAACATCTCGATCGTTATCATGCAAAATTATATGCGGCAAAATTAATAGCATCACTTGACGACAATTTAATGAATTTTAAAAGTATAAATTTTATGCCGTTATCATCATCAAAAACAAAACGATCGAATATGGATTCTGTAAGTTATTCGAAAATTTTCGTATATATTTCTCAACTAATCAAATATTTTCTAAATAGTTTCGCAAATGCCTAAGGCTAATTTTGTTTCTATTGAGAAAAAGATGAAAGAAATTGATCGAAAAATGACTAAAAATCTGGTTAATCGCGATTAATAAGGTCGATTATTTAGAAATTAAACGATTGCCAGGATATAATTCCTGTCGATCGAGAAGGGCAATTATTAATGAATATTTCGTATAGCAATTGTTGCCGTCGAATGATTTATCTCGATTTTAGTAATACACAGTTTAGTGGATGGAAAAATAGCCATTACAGCAATGTCGTCAAAGGGTTTTTTTATACGCTAAACATATGTTACATTAAAAAATATTTTAAAAAATATTTAATAAAAAAAATATTTTAAAAAAATATATATTTTTATAAAATATATTTGTTAATTTTTGCTAATTGCAATAAATTATTTCCTTTTAGGCCATATTTTGTGCTAATTCATTCTTTTCGATTATATTTTGGAGATTTTTTATAGGTATTATTGTTTCGGACGTTGTCCTTATTACGGTGAACAAATTTTCGATTCTGAACCAAAAAAGCATATCTTTTATGATGAATTTATGAATGCACATTCCAAGAAGCTTGGCCTTTCACCATGTTGCGCACCATTGAAATTTGATCCACTTATGGTAACTGTGAAATATGGAAAGTTCGTTCATTGAAAGTTTAAAAGAACTTAGAAAAAGTTCAACAAGTAGTACCAAAAATATAGGAATTTTCGAGTACTATCAAAAGTGGGCTCTTTACTATTTTCAAGTAATTAGATCTTTTTCATAAAGCACGCACCATTTCTGACTAACCTTACTCCACTAGCTTAAACTAAACAAATCTTACTTCAAGCAAATGCAAAGGGTCATCTATTTGGATTTTTGGAAGGCAAGTTTGCGCGAAGAAAAACCATAACATCCAAAATCAGAGCGGAGCCACAATCCTATCTGGCCAATTGCATAAGTATAAGCCAATTGTATAATTGTATAAGCCAATTGTACAATCAGTTTGATCGAATAATTTTGCCAAATTTGTTAATTTTAATAATTTAAAATAAATGAATTTTAATTAAATTTCAGCAATATTGAATCGACTCAGATAATCAACGATTTTATTGTGGCCAAATGTGGATGCCTCTGAATTAAAAGATATTTTTTTGGTATAAAGCCCGCTATAATCCTAAAACTTAATGCCATATTAAACATAAATATATTTAATACGTTTTTATTTTTTAACGATCTCATAGGTCTAATAATATATTTTCTATTTTCCAGACTAATCATGAACGTCATAATAACATCATAATAACTTCCAACATTCTTACTTTTTAGTACCATAATCATTTGAACAATTGTTTTCATTTCTTAGTACCATAATCACTTTGAACAATTGTTTTCATTTCTTAGTACCATAATCACTTCGAATAATTCTTTTTATTCTTTACTTATTTGTGATATTTATTAAATGCTATTCATATCAAATCCATCCCATCTGAATTAAATTAAATTGAATTTGATTTATTTCAATTTTAAAATATGGTTTTTTCATGATTTTAATAAATGATATTGTTTAAATACAAATGAGCAAATATATTACTAAAATATGCATCGAATATTTACAATAAATATAACGAGGAATGCACGTCGATTATTTGCATAATGACTAGTACAAATGCAAATATAATATAAATACTAAAATGTACTTCTGTGATTCGACGACTTAGAAAAATTTGTTTTTGACATTTTTACAAAAATTGCATGAACAATTTTCAAAAGATTTGATATCGAAAATATCGAAAAATGAAATTATATATGCATGATTAGAAATGATTAGAACACAAATGAACTTAGCACGGGTTCATCGCTTTGACACATACCATTAACCGCATAAAAAGGAGGACAACAACTCGGTTGACTACATGAATTAATTGCATCTGATAGACTAAAATTTATATATAAGTAAATAAAAATCTTTGATGATCAATTGGATTTTAGTAAATTATTTTAGTAAATTACCAGAATTTACTAGCAAAAACCTGGAAACTTGAATTATTTTTATGTTTAAGGACCTTCACCTTTACTGGTTAGATTCACTCTACTGGCTTGTCGCACTATATAAATATGCCAGAGAGTTCTTTGGCGATAGGAGTATAGGTGAGTCGCCAGCATCATTCGGATTTTTGGATAGGTTTACTATTGCAGGGAGTAGAACCTCAACATCGACGTCCCGAATTAAGCAAACACCCATTGAGCCATTTTTATACCCACGAACTACATCTGCCAAGACTTAGAGCAAGGCATTTTCTTCACTTTAGACGGATTGAATCATCGGAATGGAGAATAAGTTATTGCTAATTTTTTGGTAAATCTTCTCAGCAATCTCTTATTCATTTTGAGAAAAGCAGTAGTAAAATAAGATGAACGTACTGCGTACAAACTCGACTATCAACACAAATTCTGTTTAAGAATTTCACTTTCGAACATTTCGGATCTACTGGACAAGCAATAAGATTGCATGTAGAGAATTCTTGGCCTTTACCGCTAAAAAATATAAAGAATTCAGAAAAATTTATATGAAAAAATAAGCGGATTTAAAAAATTTGATGAAAATAAATCATTTAAAATAAATTGATAAACTGATAAGAAAAATTTGGTGATAAAAATCGTTTTCGTAAAATAAACCCAATGGAAAAAAAAAAGTTGAACGATCGTTTCCTTTATATTGTAATAATGGAATATAGTTCAAAAGTTTAGCTAAAGTTTAGCTAAAGTAACACTAATAATATAAAAGTAATATTACTAGCACTGCGCTGTCGCACATATCCTTACTCGAGATCTAATCCCACATCCACCGCAAGGTCTTGAACAATCTGACCATGGTCCCCATTCACTCCATATATTTTCGCCAGCAATCGTAGTTGTTGCAACTTGAATATTACTTAACTATGTAACAAAAGAAAAAAATCCTTATTTGAATTTAGGAGGAAAGCACGTTTTTTACACGTTCTACGTGGCAAATATGTCCTTATTCTGGAATATTTTCGATAAAAAAAGTTGTAAAATTGTGGCAAATCCATGTGACCAAATGCCAGATTCACGAGAGATATTTTCAAGTTGGTATTCGATTTTTTAAATAAAAACATAAAAATATGTTTTAAAAAACCTGTAGTTGCTTTTGATTGTGGCATATCTGCCATTTTAGGAAGTTTTTTTGCTGAAAAAATTCTTTTTTGGAATTTTTTAATTTTTAATTTTTCTATTTATTAATTCTTTATAAAATTTAAGTAAAAATCTACTCGAAAACGAATATATTTTTAAAAAATATAATTGAAATTATTATAAAAAATATGAATCAAATAATTATAAAAAATTAAGTTATAAAATAATTATTATTATTTAAATTATAATAAAAATTAAACTTCAATTTTAAAAATCATCATTATAGTTATGAAAATTAAATTATAAAACCAATTATAAAAATTTATTAAAAATTACAAAAATTTTTCTTTATAGAAAATAAATAATATATTGATTAATTAATTTAAAAAATCAAAGAAGGTTTTCATCTATTATATCAAATTATTTTATGGTTGCTGTAATTTCAATTCATTGATTTTTCTTAAAAGCTTTTTAAAAACTATTATCAATAATTTTGATAAATGATTCTAATAATTGATAATTTTGATACAGATACAGATGTTTTTTCATTGCATAGATTTAAAAAATTTCGGCTTTTTTTTCATTTTTATTGCTAGAAAAGAGATTGAAAATAAGATACTTTGTCTAAATTGCAATTTGAAACCAATATCTTCACCAACTGCCGACCGAAAGATTACCATTATCTTATTTTGCAATGATATTAATTTATCTTTTGGTTTATCGAAACAACAAATTCTTAAACAATTCGATTTTAATAAATCGATGAAACCAAATATACGAAATAAAAATATTGCTTAAATGAGCATTAACTGATTAGCTTCAATTAATTTCAGGCTTCGTATCGAAAATCTGAATTAGAAATGCCTTATTAAAATAGAATAGCCAGTTGAGCATAGACAAACTAATAATGCTGCGAATTGTTACAAGAAGAAGATTTTACTAAATATTTAAATTAGTTTAGTTTAGGTTAGATTGATAAATTTATTATTCGAAAATATGAAATGTACGATTCGACAAATAAAGAAATTCAAATACCTAAAGCCAGTTGCTCTCATATCATTTCCAATTTTAAGTTCAACATAATCCACACATGTACTCGCACAAAAAATACCAAAATCCTCAATAAATTCTACTTCGATTCGTTTACCTAAAAATTATGGAAAATCTGATTATTACTAAATTTCAATATAGAGTAATGTTTAGGCAAGAAATTTAGGAAAAAAAGTAAGCTAAAAGTAAAACTAAAAGTAAAAAAGTAATGTACATACCAACGGCAGCCTCGATCAGCCAACTGCATTTTTCTCCGGACTCATAACCAGGGTCCGGGTAGCCTGGTGATTCTATCTCTTGCCATTCGTCTGTTGCCTTTAACATACCACCACAATCCGTTGCTAAAAACGTTATTCACAAGATTTACAATTATTTCAAAATAATTTGAATTAAAGAAAAAAAAAAGATAAACCTAGTGGCTTTTCATTTTTTTCACATTTTTTACCACTAAAACCATTAGGACATATACAAATTTTACAGTTGGATGGATGAGCATATCCGCCATTCAAACATTCTGTTTCACCTTTCTTGCATCTATCTGTAATGATTATTTCATTTATCATATCGCATTTTCTTATCATTAAAAAAATCCTTACAAAATATTTTTATCATATTTATTCGTAAAAAGATAAATTCTTTTCATAGTACCAACGGATAAATAATTAGTCAAAAAAATGCTATACTAAGAAACACCAATACGGATTTTTAGAAGGCCACTACTGCGTTAAAAAGCTAAAGGCAGGTAAATCGAAAGACAAACTGCTTTGGCTAAGGTTAAGCAATAAGTATGGGATCGATTCTTACCTTACCTTTGGACTTAAGAAGACTTGTAGTTAAAAGTGAATTCCAGATGATACTGAGGATCTACTCGTATTTTCTATCGTTCTTTCGACTTTGCATAGCAATAAGTGGAGATGACCCAGAATTAATCCATGTTTTTAGGGTATGAAAAAATTGAAGCTATTGAAGCTCGTCAAGTTCAAAAAGTTTGGTATTATGTACATATTAAATTCAGAAAAATTTCAGGCTAAAAACTGACCTTTGCAATAAGCTTCATTAATTGTCATTATATCGTAAAAAGATAATGCCTCACGCTGACCAATTGTTTTTTGATAGAACGGATCTCTGAATAAATAAATTTTTTTACAAATCAACTGATAATGATTCTCACTTTGGCAATTACATATATCGACATATATGATAAATATTTTGAAGTCCTTAAATTTATTTTAGGCTCCTCACTTCTCACCGCGAAACTTTTGGTGTTTCTGTATCTCTTTTCATATATATTAATTAGAATGAAAAAGAGCTGTATAACTGAATTTGCATTACAGAAATTATTAGTTTAAGGAACCAAGATTATCCCCGCTAGAATTATACGAAGAAACTGAAGTTAGTGATGCTCCTCAAGTTCAAAAATCCAAGTGGTGATATTTCTGTTCCCAAGTGATTTAAGCCTGTTTGGCTTATCGCGATTGCGAACCAAATCATAAGTGCCCTTATATAAAATGTAAATTTACCGTGTTAAAACCGTTTTACTTTTCTGATCAGCGCTAAAAGCAGTCGATCCATAATGCATAATTGATCCCAAATCATATGGTATACCTAATGTGTCGATTTCATCATTACCTCGTTCAAGAAATTCGCTAATATACGAAGGCAAAATGAATTCTTTGAGAACTTCAATGTATTTCTTAGCATCAGGCCTCGATTGTTGATGCCAAACGCCAAGAGCATGGCCTATTTCGTGCTCTATTGTTCCAATCTATTTATTAATTAATAAGAATATTTATTAATTAATATAAGGATTAAAGCATGGATAATTTCATGCAGGCATCTTTTTTTCATTATTTTTTGCAGTTATTTTCTTTTTTTTCTTCTTTTTTCTCTTTTTTAATATATTTTCAGAAAATCTTTAACCTCGATTTTTATATACAATAAAGCAATATATTAAAATTTTAAAATTAAAATTAAAGTTTAAATAAAAATTAAAGTTTAAGAAAATTTATGGACTCGACTGATAGCTAATAAAATTATAAAAAATCCTCTGTGAGTTAAAATAAACTGATAAATCGATATATATATCTATACATATATTTATGTAAATTTACCCGTTCGCAACCTTCACCCACTGAAAGTCCTTGTCGACCACCGAATCTACCAACAACTGAGTAGCATCTAAAAAAATTCTATGAATAGGTTGTTCACTATAATTTCAAGCTTCAGCATGAATCGATTTCTGTCAAAAGAATTTTGTAATCAGCTATTGACTTAGATGGTCAGCAAAGTTCCATTAAACAAGACGAATATCCAGGATCACCTAATTTCGTAATATTGGCATAAAACTTCGCAATTTGCAAAAATGGTTTAAATATCGGATAATTTTTTTATGTTTTTATGTAATGATTTAAATTTCACCTTTTTTTTACAAATTTTATAGAAAATTTACGAAGTTATATGAAAATTAAAAAATTAGCAAGAAGTAAGCTGCAAATTTTATCGATAGATCATTTAATGATTAATTGTAAATTACTCTAAAAAGATTGAAAAATTCAGATATAAATTTAAAATTTACTGTAAAAAAATATTAAAATTTTACCCTTCTCCTTTGAAAAATTCAATGAAATCACCGCTAGCTGAATTATCGTTGAGAAATTTTATACATGTATACTTTTGCCAAAATTCAATCGCTTCAATTATAGCATTAATTTGCAATAATTCTAAAAAATCAAAAAATGAAAATTAAACAATTTGCAAAAAAATCTAAATGATTTCGGTAATTTTACTTGTACTTCTATTGCTAAATTCTAACTTCCTTGGCAAAATTTGCTTGTTCTAATTAACCATTTGAGCAAAAGCTTAGCAAGAAATGGTGAAAAAAAAATTTGAAAAATTTGCAAAATAAATAAATTTTTTCATTGAAAAAATTAAAGTTTTACAGCTAGAAATATGCTAGAATTTTTAGAACATAAATGTAACCAAGAGATTCGTGGAATCGATATCTGATAGGGAATTCAATCCATTTTGCTTCGGGATCACTACTAAAACTTCGACGCAGTCGATCCGATTTTGTTAATTTATCTCGATTACGCTTACGAGAAGGTTTGCTGGCAACGTTCTCAAGAATCGTATCCGCTTGCTTTTTTGATAATAGAATATCACCTGTACGATGGAATTTGATGAATATTTTATGCGTATTTATATTTGAATAAAAAGAATTTTTCTGCTTATCACTTTATCTAATAAGATATCTTTAAAGTTTTCTCTTATCAGAACCTTTAAAATTTACCTTCAAAAAGGTAAGGCGTCAATTTATTCGTTGTCTTCGGCTGTTCTACACTAATCGACACATCTTTCTTACTATCTGCTGCACTCTAAATTTTTTCATGATGGTTGAAAAACGTTAGGATAGGTTTATTAATGGTGTTTCTGATAATGATGAAATTAAAGCAATGGTTAGCTCAGTGGATTATTATTCTCACTTCGATGTACCGATTTTGGGTTTTCGCTCACGATATGAATAGGTGCATTATTCAAAATGATGTCGGTAAATCCACTTTTCTTACTAAATGAGCAAAATTTGTCTAATCTGACAAGCCAGTGCAACCAATACAACCAGAAATATTGAGCGTTTTGAGAGTGTTATTGAGCGAAAAGAATTTAACCTATTTTTTCTTTTTTTTAGCGATTGATTTATTAATTTTCAATATAATTTTCCTTGGAAAACTAGTTTAAAAGAAAGTTGAGAAGCCTCTTTTTAATATTTTTAATGAGGTTTGAGTGAAAAAAATGAATGAAGAATCGTTGATAAACTCTACTGATCTATAAATAATAGATTCTAGAGAAAGGGAAGATTAGCCGAATAGTGTTGCCTTGATTAAGATCAAGTTCATATTATGGGCTTCCATACATGCTCTGACAGCCGCAACATTTATCAAAAGTGAAATGTGGTTAACTTGAAGTTGCACATGCGTTTCGCTTGCCAAGTGATAAGGTCTTATCACTTCGCATTATAAATAATGAAACTAAACAAACCATAGATTTAACAATATTCTATGAATTAAAAAGATGAAAAATATAAAAGAACTACTTACGTCTCTGCTAAAGACTCGATTACCAAATGTTTGACTGTGGACGAGTGCCTTTAACTGAAGCAATGTTGTACTAACTGCGTCTAGTGCGACATTATCGTAACCAAAATGTTTCTCCAATTCCTTAAAAATTATTTTTAGATTTAAAATAACCCTCTTATAGGTACTTTAAATGGTCATTTATTCCAATTTTTATACTTATCAAGCTCTAAGACTTGAAAGAAAACGCCCTTTAAGTGATAAAATGATAAATACCATCAATAAGGAAAGGGGAGATACATTAAATCAGTGGGTTGTTACTATCATTTCTCAGAGCCATGCTGGGGAGTTCTATTATCGGCAGACGTTAACCTATCTTTCAAAAATCCTGATGTTGGCAATTCGTTTATATCTACCTATTGCCAGGTGAATATTCCTTAAAAATTGTTAAGTGCAAGTTCTTAGAAAAAAAAACTGCAAATTTGAAATGATTAGGAGCTGCTTAATTGCTTAAGGTATGAACAATGAAAAAAGCAAAATTATTCTTTTCGATAGGATTAAATTTTGAAAATCGATTGTAACGAGATTTTTGAATGAAAAACTAGTAGTTTAACAATGAAAATGAAAATTTCTGTTTTATAAATTAAAATATGATTGAAAAATTACCAGTTTAACATCATCATCAGCATTAATTTTTATTAGAAAAGCATTAAATATTAAAAGAATATAGGTAGTTTGATGTGAATAAAAAAATTGGATCATACTTTTCATCATCTAAAACTACAATATTTTGAACGAAATCCTAGAAGAAATTTCTCTGCCGGATTTGAATTTGACATTGATATTGATAATCATTTTTGACATCGTTTGAAGAAATTTTTTTTTTTTTTGGATCGGAAGAAATATTTATCGTAAGAAAATTTTCATTTCATGGCGGATTTTTGTAAGAAATAAACCTTATGAAAGTGAATATAGTGGATGGAATAGAATTCTGAAAAATTGAATTTTCATGTTGAAATAAAATTAAAAAATTTTCTTTCATTTTTTTTTTCATTTTCTTTCATAAAGAAATAGATTCGCGATTTTGGCGATGCTTTATCAGTGATAAGATCCAATTTTGTTTGCCTTCATCCATCATCAATTTTCCATAAAACTTGAATAATCCTTTTTATTTTTGGTTTAAGGAAAAAATAGGGGCGATCGAAATGAATAAAATATTTTCTTAAAAAGTGGAATATTAAAAATGAAACTGGCATGATCGAATTTTATCGAATTTTGGTTCAATTTTTATTCTAAAAAGATGGCTTTGCTTGCAACTGATAAAGTGAATTTATAATAATGAAGGTAGAAGTAAAGGAGAAATCTTGTGAAAAATAAATTTGAAAAATAAATTTAAAAAGCTGCAATGAATTTCCAATAAAATTTTGCTCATTTTTGCAAATTTTTAATAAGAATAGTGATGGAATAGTGATAAAAAATTTTAGATTATCACTTATTAGAAACGAAAAATGACGGAACAAGATAATGAAACACGTTATTGTTAATCATTCATTCATTCTGTAATATTTGATTCTCTTATCAACTCCATTTTTTTTATCCTTTATCCTTTATTATCAGATATTCGCAGTACAAAACGCTTTCGATGAAATTCTTTATTTTAACAATTAATCTGGCGAACAATTAATCTGGTTGAGATTAAAACGGCTTAACTTCGTCTTAACATGATTTATATTAAAATATCTTAAATATATATAAATATATATCAGAAAATCTTGAATCTACTGATGTTTCAAGTGAATATGTACATTAATCAATCAATTAATCAATTAACATTCTGATGTCCCAGGCTAACGAAATATTACAGAAAAAAAATTTTTGGGCTCTGAATTCACCTATGGACGAAATAAATTAAAATTATTAAATAATTTCTATCAAAAATGTACAAAAAGATTAATGAAAATAAAATTAAGAATCCAGAAGAATCCACATATCCAGCGGCGGCTTGTAAATCCGGTTCGTATATCAATACGTCTTCAATTAAATGCATGAAACCATTAATGCCAGCAATCTCACCACCTTCTCTTAATCTTGCAACACGATTACCACGAGGCCAATATAGTTCGAAATCTGCTAATTGTAAGATCTAGTAGTTTCATGGAAATTGGTATTGATAGGCGAAAAAAATTTAAAAAAAACTCACATCTGCCTGTTCTTCGAATAACTACTTTCTCGTCATTCATCATAACATAGGTTCTTTCTCGTAAGTCAACATACATAAGTGCTTGACCTTGAATTATATGCCTTTTGAAAACAAATTGCAGAGCTAACCAGTGATTCCCATCAAGCATTTTAAATCTCAGTGAAGATGGAACCTGAAGTATTATATTTTTTGACGGCAAAACCTTTGTATCTAACTCCATTTTTGCTCCTTTTCATAAACTTTTAGCCTATTTTAATAAAGAATATCCAAAATCATATTTTTGGCTGAAATAGCACTGGAAAAAGATTTATAGCTATTTGACTAAGAAAAATCTTTTTATCTCTCAAAATTTCTTTTATAGATTCATAAAAAATTTTTTTAAAAAAACTTTTTATAAAAAGTTTTTGTTCTGAAAATAAAAAATGCAAATGGATGCAAACTAAAAAAAAAATCTAAAGATCTGAAAATTAAAAATCATTTAATTAAATAAATAAATAGATATTAATTAAAAATAATAATTTCAATTTTAACTTTAATTTTAAAATCGAACAAAAATTTATAGTTTTAGTTGAATCTATGAAAATAAATTGAAAAAAAAATAAAAATACTTACACGATCCCACGCTTCATTTGTTGGTACAAAAAAGGTTAAATTTTGTAAAGGAGTTAAAACTTGATAAGGATTCAAAGTATACTGCAATTGCAAATTGCTTAACATCTCATAAGAGCGCCTAAAATTCAACTAAAACGATCAAAATTTTCATAATGAAATATTAATATTAATATTAGTTTGTAGTTTAAAAAAAAAAAATTAACAGTTACTTATCACTTATATCTTATCTATTCTTGAATGTTCAAAAATCTTACTGCAGCCTAGATTCATTGCGAAGAATTTCAAATAAAGATTGGTATGGTACGCCAAGAACTCGTTCTATATAATGAACGATACCATTTGTAGCAGCCACATTATCTTGTATAATAGCAGCCCGTATTCCACCACCAACTACATAATACGCTGAAATTTTTGCATCAAAATTAACATTAGGTCTTAAAGAATATTGCAAAGCCAGCTAGCTAGTTAATCAGCTTTGGACCTATACCAATCAACTAAGACAAATGTATAGTAAATATTCTAAACATTTTGATAAAACATTTGATATCTTAAAAAATATGTTTTCTAGAAATGACTGCTTTTATCGTGATAAGAAATTTTTTTTCAAATCTTTAGGCCAATTCTTTTAAAAATAAATTATCATTTTTTGCAGAGAAAATAACTGGAAGAATCAAATATACTGATATTATTTCTAGGCCATTCGCCTCTTATGAAATATAGATATTGCCTATTGTCGACCGTATTCACCATGGTATCATTCGTTATTTCATCACTGGTAAGTTCCTTTGCTGGCACAATATGAAGTTTGAGTATCTGAAAATATTAGAAAGAATGATTTATATTTATTATAAAAAATATTTGCCGTAATTTATCAATTTATAAAATATTTAGTTAGTTTACTCAAATTGTTTCACAACCTGTTCCAACCAGATTCGATCTCTTAATAATCGCCTTTCAATATATTCAGGTATACGTTCAAATGCCTCATTATAGGGAGCGAAAAATGTTACAAGACCACCAGTTGCTGAAAAATAATTGCGAACGATCTGTCCAATATTATTTATGTATCGCATTAATGTCGTACATCGATAATTGTCCATAACCAACTGAAATAGCCATTTACTATCGAATAATAATATGAAAGTTTATAAATTTCCGATAATTCCTAAGCTTCTTCTAAACTTTATATGAATAAAAAAATGCCTTCCTTCTAGAAAAATTCAAAAATTTAATAAAAATCTACGCATTTTTAAAATTTCGGAAGCGAAAGCAATTTCTTTAGAGAATATATTTTAAGGATTTATTATTGTTGTTAAATCCATATCTATTTATTACCTAAGATAATTATTTATTGGTGAATATTGGTGAAGTCTAGGTTCTATTTTTAAGCAATTATTTGTTGGTAAATTTGCAGGGTTTTAGATTTCAAACCTTTAACTCGTGGATTCATTGGAAAGGCGAAGAATGATAGGTGTGGATCGCGATTGACCAGATAGTATGAGATCATGCGTTTATTAACTAGGCTAACTAGGCTAGTTTGGCTAGTTTCAAGCTTAAACAATTTAATGATTGTAATTCAGCTGTTTTTATTCAATCTTTATTGTTAGCACGAAAAATCTTGCATGTAAATAAATTATTATATCTTAAATGATATTGTTAATCTTATTTCCTACAATTATAACAAATATATATATCTAATATATCCAAGCTTAATAGTTGTTTATGGCTTTAAGAGATTTTCAGCTTCTAAATGAATGATAATAGTTAATATCAATATCAATATCAAAATAAAAAATCAAAAAAATGTATCAATGGAATTTACCATGTCGATAGTTTTGCTGACAATACCGAGAACATTATCGACAATATGAACAACACCATTTTGAACGGGAATATTAGGCACAAGAATTTTTGCCCAAACTCCACCACGACGAAACTGACTATAGCGCTCATAGATTTCCGATACAACATATACTAAATAAAAAAAGAAAAAATTAGTAATTATAATCGTAATTATAATTTAATCATTTTTTATTTTTAATTATTTATTATTATTAATAGTAATTATTTTATTCATTTATTTAAAATTATGTTTATAAATCTTTTATTTTAAAAATGAAGAAAAATTTTTTTAAAATTCAATTCAAACGATTTTCCAACAAATCAGAAATATCTAATTATTTCCAAGTGATGCTAACGGCTTATCTACATTTTTATTTTTATCAGTAAAGCAAATTTTCCAAGTTCAACAAACCAGCAATGGTGAATAATCTTTGAAAAAAAAAAATCTAACCACTTACAGTCCCATCTTCCAGTTCTGCGATCAGTGATATTTCTCATAGATAATCTCAACTTATAATTATCTTCAATAATATTCGCAGAGAATCTAATGGATGGATAATGATGAATTCCTCGATCATAGAGCCAAGGATACGTGAAAAGAACTCGATTAATACCAGTTACATGAGCTAAAATTACTTCTCGATCAACACGATTTCGGTCAATCACCTGAAATTATTAAAAAAATAAAAAACGCTCAAAGATAAATTGCATAATATTTCCTTCTTAAACTGATCTTCCGAATATTCAGTTTAGCGGTCCGAAGCGGTCAGTTTAGCATCTAATTTTGAATAACTTTCTATTATGGACTAGAATGTTAGTTCATTTCACTATATATGTTGAATGCAAAAGCAATAGAAATATTCAATATAAAAAATTTTCATCTGAAATTTTTGTGAAGGATAAAGAATAATTAATTCTGAGCAGAGTGGTACCTTAGAAAAAGCTTCATTCGTCGGTAAAAAAAATGTGTGAAAACCGTTCCAAGCTGATGCACCGAAAATAGCTAAAGCAATATCTGGAGCTCGATCTAATACATCTCGCAATTCCCTAAAATAAATTTTTCACTGGTATTAGGGTGACAAAACAATGCAAATACATTTCCAATCTTATAAAAGAAAATAATCGAAAGCATAAATTATAGAAATTTTGGAAAATTTCAAATTTTAAATTAAAATATCGAATTCAAAATTGGTGACAAACGTTAATTCATAATTGTTATATCGCCGCTCAAAGAAATTACTCCGATCTGTGTCTCGAATAAATGATAACGCTGTTGAGGGATATGGCCGATGACCGATTGGTGTACAAATTTTGTATAAAAATTGTTCACCGCTTATTATAGCCCATTGATTAGATGCGTGATTACATAACATTCCATTGTTGGCAAAATACGACTAAAAAATAGGAAGATCAAGAAACTTCATCAAATTTTATTTACTAATGTAAGTAAAAAATAAGAATAAAAATTCTTGTGACAACAGAACGAATGAATGTACTTCTTCCATCATTTGGATCTCTGGCACAATCTACGTGCCCCAACAAGTCAGTGGAAGTCAAAAAATAATGGTGAGCACTTTTATCACCAAGTGATTTCCTGGCAAAATTTGGATCTGGCACGGCAAGATCGAATAATCGGATATAATTGAAAATTATAGTAGATTCAATAAATTTCTACTTCGAGAACTTATCGAATTGATTTTATGATAAAAATATGTTGATAAGACTCACATAGTTGCCTGGACTATTTTCAAATTGCGTTATATAAATGAAGCCTGAATTAATTGTACTTCGAATCAACGTCTGCTTATCCCATTTTTTTCCTTGGCCAATTTCGTAAATTTGAGTATCAACTAAATTTGGTCAAATAAAAGTAGCCTTATCAGCAATGGACAGAACGTTTCATTGTTGTTCTCACTTAGGAATGCTGATATTGAGGCTCTATTTCCGAGAAAAATAAGCCAAAATTTATCTACCAATCTAGTGCAATGAAATCAACGATAATAAACGATGAACACTCTTAAGAAATAAATAACCAAAAATGATTCTATCGAATCTACTAATTAATTGAAAATGATAAAAGTAAATTTATGGCAAATTTATTTAAACATGGTACTTATGATATTTATAGTACCTATCAACTATCTTCCAAAATCACCACTATACTTATTAACTATACTTATCACCACTATACTATACTTATTTATACATGGTACTTGTAATATTTATGGTACTTATTGACATATTTAATAACCAATATACCAATATGTGAAAGTGTTTCTTTTTGATTTAACGCTCGAAGATCGGGATTATAAGTAAAAACATCATTTACTGGAGCGAATACAGTTATACGAGCGTTTGAATCTTCCATATAAGCTTGTGCTACAGCATAACGACCGCACAATGATCGCCACTAAAAACAATTTGCATTTTTCAAAAAATTATTTTCAAAATAAAATTAAAATAATAAGATTTTTTCCAGTTGAAATTTTCATTATCAATAAAAAAATTTGAATTTTTTTAATTTTGAAAATTTTAAATTTTGAAATAGCAAAAGTTTCCAAAAAGTGCAAAAGTGTAAAAAACTTTCTAATTCTTAATTTTTTTTTTAAATTTTAATTTTCATAAAAATGAAATAATAGATTTTTTTTTGAAAATATTTCAGAAAGTATGAATAAATGTGACTATAAAAATAAATAAATAATTAAATTATGAAAAAATTAAATTAATAAAAATTAATTAGCATTTTTAAAAAAATATATATGTTAATTAATAAATAATTTGCTATGTATGATTGAAAAATAATTTAGCAACTTGTTGCAAATCATTCATTCGTTCCATTTCAGTCCATAAATCAAGATAAACATTTTTTATCAAAATTAAAAACAAAAAATGCACTCGTATTATTATCAACAATAAGTTTGACATTGATTTCAGTAATAATTTACCTTAAAATTCTCATAAAAATTTTTTTTAATAAAGTAAATTATTTGATTAAGAAATATAATAAATTGAAACGAAATGCGATATTTATTTATAAAGAATCGAGAAGTAACAGAACAAACAAAAAAAGAGAATATAAAAATTAGGAAATAATAGGTGAAAATACAAGAAAATTATTAAAAAAAATACAAAATAAAAATACAAAAATTTAAAAATAAATCCAATTATATTATTGCACAACACCAGTATCAAAGCCAAAGAAATGATTTAAACAATATCATTAATGTGTTATATCAGTAGATAATCACTAGTCAATTTATTTTGATAATAAGAAAATTATATAAGACAATAAATTAGCCCTGGAAAACTGATTTGATTGCTTATTATTATCATTATCATTATTCACCAGCTGAATATAAATAAAGCGGTGATTATCTGATAAAATGATAAATTTTTGCTAATCAACATAAAAATAGTTTAAGAAAAATTTTCGATCGAATCGTTTCCAATTGATTTTATGAATCATTTTGGTTCAAAGGAAAATCATAATCAAATATTGCTTGGAAGAGGAATAAAGAAGAATGCTAAGCAAACAATGACCAATCGACCAACCAAATGGATAAATTTACAATCAACTTTCAAATTCCAAAATATTACATTAGTAATAGACTGATTAATTTTTGAATTAATCACTAGTTGCGGATTAATAAATAACGATTACAATACAGAGGTACTTAGAAATGTCTCGTCCTAGTAGCCAGAAAGATCGACCTTATTTAGATGGTACTAGTTTCCAGAAAAAGAGAACGGAAGTCCCGAAATATGGTTTAAGAAAAAAAGCATCATCGAAATAGAAAATTTTCATGGCAGTATAATAAATTTTCCTTTTTTATTCATAAATTCCCTTCAAATTCAATCGTTTCCAATATTTCTTCCTTTGGAACTTTTTAAATTTGCAATAAGAAATGTGGCAAAAAATATATTCTTTTGAATTTAATTGACGATGAAAAAATGGGCTCTTATCGGAGTTTATCACTCTTTATCAGTAAGATTCATTCTTATGTATAATTATGCTAAAAAAGAACCTTTTCTTTGCAAATTTGTTTTTTTCTATCATATTTTTATCATTATCTTTTATCTTTCAACTAAAATCAAATCATACATTTAGCTATACTTTATTCATACCTCTCAAAATAACTTATATAATTTATCTTCGAAATATTTTGCTGAAAATTAAAGGAAAGCAATGAGGTCCACCAAGATTTTATTTTTTCGTTTTTCTTTTTTTTAGAAAAATGTCAAATTTTTCTTAGCATTTTTCGTTTTATAGAAAAATTTCAAATTTTTCTTAAATATTCTTATTATTTAAAAAAATATATATATTTTAAATTCATTTTAACTGCAACTCTTCAAATTTTTCACTTTTTAAAAAAAAAAAGAAAAAAGATCATCGATCAGATAGGCGACAATTTCCACGCGGTAAATAAATATGAAGTTGCTAAGAGATTATAATTTAAAATAACATTCTGAAACGAAAATAATGATTTACGCGTTGTTATAAATTTCTAAATTGCAGCGCAGCTTCGTGCGGCTTAACCCTTGATCACATGCTTTATTTCATTTCGTTGAATATAAAAATTTGGCTCATAAAATATTATATATAGATAGGTTATGTGCTTTTAATGATTTATCACTAGCAAATTTTTCTCTTATTTTACGAGCCTAGGAAAAAATTTTTGGCATTTCTGGGTTTATGCTCGATATTTGCGATAGTAGAAATTGATAACAGTTAGTGATAATAAAAAATTTTTTTTTGAAGTAGATTGTTCCGATTCGAATTAGCAGTTTTTGGCCAAGTTTTGTGCTTTCCTGGGACGAATTAACTGAAGGAGAATTGCCTTAGTTGAAATAAATAGTAAGGTTGAGTGAAAAAATGAAAAAAAAATTATAACTAAAAAATCTTTATCTATTTTTTTTATTATTGTAAAATTAAGAGAAAAAAGATGGGAAATTTGGCTTTATTTTTATGAATTAATAGTAAATTCTTTGCAAAAATTGTCTGTTGATTCATTGAAAAATTTAGCATTTCAGTATTTTTAATAATTTTATTAATTTTTAATAATTTTACATATTTATCAATTTTTTTATAAATTTTTTTTGAATTTTTTTTGCATGCTTATAACGCTTATTTTTTTTATTGAATAAAATTTTTGTTGATTGTAAATATTTTTGTTTTTTTTCCCGGAATTTCATCGTCAGTGCTTTAGAATGCAACGACAGTTTGCAAGTTCGTTGAAGCAAGTCGTCGCGCAATATTCAACCAAAGCACCAGTAAAATATGCTCGACAAACTTTTGCTAGTCCAGTGCATGACGGTTGGGCTGGAAAAGTAAGCTTCTATTTTAAAATTCTTAAATTTTTTAAAGTTTCAGGTTATTTATTGTCGATCAGAGTTTTTTTATAAAATTATTTATAATTTTATAATGTTCGCCACTGTTAAGCAGCATAAACATATGTTTTTATCGGGTTAGACAGAATTTTTTATTTTGATTTGGGCTAGTTGATTAGTTTGGTGAATTTTATAAAAGGCATTGCATATATAACTTCTCTAAAAATCCCTCCATTCATCAATGGCATTTTATAAATTTTTCATACATTAAAATGAAAAATTCGTTGAATTTCAGCATTTACCGTTCAGTCTTCGTACCAAATGGGGTTTCTTCACCAAGGCTGTAATTTTTGTATCCACTGGATTTTGGATACCATTCTTCGTTGTCGATTTTCATTTACGGAAAGCGGCTCAATAATTCGAGTGATATATATTGTTAGATAGTGAAATTCTTTACCATAAAAATAAGATTTTTCTATGAAGTTTTGCTTAAATTTGTGTATGCCCAAATAAAAGTGGTTAAATTTAATGGAGTCAGAAATTGTTAATGGAAGCATATAATGGAAAATCATATATAAGCATATAATGAATATATTTTGGTATTTTTTGGTGTTTATCATGGAACATAATGATAGAAATATTCGTAATAGTTCTTATGGTATTGATAATTAATTCCACCTTGAGACAGATTTAGATTACATTTGAATTTTCTTGATTAATAATTAATTAATATTAATATCAATTGGAAAAAATAACTTCAAAATAAGCCTACGGTGATAATTTAAAAGTTAACATTGGAATTTTAGATGAAAGGATTCAGTTCGATGTTTTTCAGAAGTAAATTTTTGAATTATGAGATTTCAAATGGATTTTTACCATGTTCCTTTTCCACTTCAAAGTTATAATATTCATCGGGGCTTTCAAACTGATCTGATTATCAATATTTCATTCAGTATGATTACGATAATCATATGGCACATTTTATAAGCGTTAATTCGATACAAAATGGCAATAACAATTTTAACACATTATTATGATAAGATAAATTAAAGAAATTTTGAGCGATTGAGTTGATATTCGATCAACAGGTAAAAAATGAGCGATGGCCAAATGTTTATTCGTACTTTGGATTTGAACTTGTTTTCAAAATTCTGGAGTAGTCTGGTTTCTGCTAAAAATCTAATCTGAATTTTGTAAAAATCTAATAATAATGGTACCGTGAGGTCCAAACCTAAAATCTAAATTTGTTTTTATTCTCATTATTTCTAAGATCATTAATTTAATGTTGATTTAATTGATTGATTTAATTGAAAGTTTCTGATTTTGTTTTAAAAGCCCTGCGGGATTTTTCTTTAAATAAGATTTTTATTTAGTTGAATAAAAATTTTACGGTACCATTTGTCATTTTCATGGTACTTTAACAATATCTAAATAAAGCGCGATTCATCTGTGTCAGATTCTATCGCCAAGTGGTTCTTCACAAAAATTCCTAATCGTACGCAAAAGCTAACTAAAAATTTTGACTGATACTAGTATTTAAAATATTAGATAAATTAGTTAGTTAATGAAAAAATTACCGCATTTCGATGACCCCGCAATAAATATTGCCATTTTTCTTAGAAGATTTCAGCCTAATCGCATTTTTATATATGAAACATGAAACATGGCTCCGCCTGATAATATTTATATGCCACACCTATGGTAGAAAGCGAAATCCCACCCATAGTTGCCCGAAGGCAATTTTAGATAAATTGCCTCTTAATGTCTCATATTCATTAAAACGTTTAAATAAATACGTTTTAAATGTTGCGAATATTTCTTATATTATTTTATTATTTTTATTTATTTCCAAAGGGTATGTTTTTTAATTTAAAATCATCTTTAATTAATTTTAATTTAAATTAATTTAAATGATTTCAAAAAATTCTTTTTTGTTAGAGTTCGTTTATTTAATATTTTATATATATATATATATATATATATATATAATATAATATAATAATATATATATATAATATTTATAAATTGCCCATATTTAATATATATATATATAAAACGACGAAGGACAAAAGGGCCTCTTAGCAATCTTAGCAAATTTGCCTTATCTCAATGGAATTAGCCAAATCCAGGAAATTAGCTGAGGACAACTATTCGAGTATTTGAGCCCTTTTCTTTTAGTATAATTCATTTTATTTATTCATTCAATTTCTTTATCCTAGCTATCAAGTTGGGAGACCAAAGAGGATCATTTGGAGTATAGAAAGTCATCAAAATCGTGCATCGTGCGGATCTCTGCGTTTGTTTCTATTTCGCGTTGTCGTCTCCTCATTTACTTTACTAAGATTGTGGTTGCGTCGTTCCAGAATTGTTTAACTTAGAAGATATGTTTTAAACATACAGTGGATAGATGGATTTATAAAAAATTTTCTTATTATTCCTTTATATCATTCCTGAAATATTGTTCTCCATTCCATCAAATACTATTTTTTTTCTCGATGGTACTTGTGGCCTTTTTGTATTACCGTCAGTTCCCTGGGACCCTGGCGATAATCTTTCATTCTAATAGATTCTTGTAATGAGCCTAAGTAAAAGTGGTGAATACTATCCTACTTATTCTTACAATTTATTTATTTAAATTTATTTTCCATCCAGATTGTATACCTTATTTCTTATTTTTATAATGGCCTTATTTGGTATTTTTTATAGTAATAAATTACTTTACTCGAATTATTGCAAAAAAGTTTGGCCTGAAATGCTTCAAGAGAACCAAATTTGGTATTATCTTAGCGATATTTCGAATTAAGAGTGAGGTGAAATTAAACGAGAGATTAGACAATTGCGCTTTGACAAGAATATTGCTTATTAGTTGAAAAATTGTTAAGATAAGATATTTCAGGTATACATCAATAAATAAAATTGTTTTTCCAACTTTTTTTTTTACAATTGAATTTTATAAGAGAATTTTAATCATATTTCTAAAAATAATTTTTCATATTTATTTCCTATTAAATTTTATTATTGCTTTTTCCCTATTTCCTACGAATCTATTTTTCTCATTAAAAGCCTTCTTCCATCAATTTGCAATTATTTATTTATTTATTTTGTGAATACAATTTTTGATAACGTTGATTTCTTTTTTAAAATTTTATCAAATTTATTTCAATAAAATTCTTTAAAAATAATAAATTTTTTGGATGATTTTGAAATTTTGGTGCAATTTTGGATTTTTGCTTGGTGTATTGTATTTTTATTCCTCTTAAACAGCTAATTATAGCTATTGCGTTTAGTTCATTTTACTTTAATTTTATTTTATTTACTTTACTTATCTCTATTTTCTCATAAATTTTAGCTTTTATTATTTCTATATTTATTATATTTTCTATTTTCTATTTACCAAAATCATGAAAAAAAAAAATAGGCTTTGCAATATAGTCACATACGTATTCATCATGTTCACCGTATCCTTTGAATCCATTTATTCTTCAGTGATACCAGTTTATTTTAATTTCAATGAAAATTTAAGAAGTTTTTCGGCATTTTTAGAAATTTAGACCATTTAAATGAATCTTATAACTTGGTTTAAAAAAAACCTCGGAAAAATAAAATTTTTTCGTTTGTAATTATGTTTGAATGGGCAATTTTCTGGTTACTTTTGTTGAATGGGCAATTTTCTATTTACTTTCATGAATGGGCAATTTTTTAATGAAAATCAGCTGGATGCATTATATATATTGAAATAGTTTTTCTTGATGCCAATGATCTGTTGCAAAAGTTTAATTTTTTAATTATCCCGTTAAAATATTATTAATAATTAATATATTATATAAAACTAATAGTTATAATAATAATATTAATTATTAACCTATATTAATATTGCTACTGCTCAGTTTTTATTATAATTTGAATATTTTAAGCTTTAAAAAAGAAGAAATTAAATAAATTTTTGACAAAAATTACCTGAAGAATTAGTTCTAAAGAATTATTATTATTATTTTACTTATTATTATATTTATTATTATTTATTACTATTTATTTTTAATTTTTACTACTATATTAATCTTCCTGTTACTTATTCCTGTTAATACTATTATTAATACTATTATTATTACTATTATTGATAATTGTTATTAATTATTAATTGTTATTAATTATTATTTACTAATTATTATTTATTATTACTGTGTATTATTATTTATTTTTATTATTAATAATAATTATTATTATTAGTGTTTCTAAAAGAAATACTCTAGAATCCAAAATTGTGCAAATTTGCGGGGTTTTTTTTTCTGAATAAATTAACGTTAATAAATATTAAAAATGGATAGTTTTATTCATTTCAATAAATATTTATTTTGTCTCATTTTACAATGGAGAAAACCATCCATCATTTTAAAAATTTTCATCTATTTTTTTCCCTTCAAAAATAACAGTTTTTTCTCCTTTCTAAGATTTAATTTTATAGCTTTTTATTTACTTTTATACTTTTATTTACTTTTCATTAGTTTTTTAAGACTAAAATTTATAAAAAGAAAAAATTCGAGTTATTATATTTTGAAGGATTTTTATTTTATTTTATATATTTGACGCAATTGAACTTTTAATATAAAAATTTAATTATTAATCTTTTAATCTTTTTATTTTTTTTATTTATTATCTTTTATTTTTATTTTTTTTACAGTAATGGTTTTTTATACTAATAGTACGCTTTTTATATTTATATTTTCTGGTGTAATTTTATTTATATTATTGAAGTTATACTTCTAATAAAAATTTTTCCACAAATTCTTTTTTTTTATAATTTTAAATTCTTTTGTTATTTTTTATTAAATGTTTTTATTTTCTGTTTTATGAATTTTATTTTATTTTATAAAAATTTTTTACTTTTTTAATAATTTTTGTTTCTATTTCCAGTTTTTTGCATTACTTTTTCTTATTGATTCCTTTTCTTATTTCTTTATGCAAAGAAAAAGAACAAAGTTATTTTTTTATTTTTGTAAGAAAAATTTTTATTATAACAATAATAAATAATTTTTATGTTTTATGTTTTATGTTTGTTGAATAGTATTTTCTAAAAAAATTTAAATTTTCAAATTTTTTATTTTTTTATAATTTTTAAAATTTTTTATAATTTAAAATAATTTTTAAGAAAAATTTTTTATAATTTTTAAAAAAATTTAAAGTTTTATTGTTAAATTAAAATTAAAATTTTTAATTTTTGAAAAGTTTTAGATGAAAAAAAATTTATAATAGAAATATTTTAGATTTTTTTTTTGCATTTGCAATATATCGCCGCTTTAAGAATCCAGCGAACCGATTATCGAAAATTGTGATCACCTTTAATCGAATATTTCTTCATTAAAATGTTCTAAAAGATTTTATGAAAAGCGTTGTCACCTTAAAAGAAATATGCAGACGCAA